GTGGGGGGGGGGACCGGCCTGGGGGTGGGGTGCAGTGGTCGAGTCCCCACCTGTGGCTGTGGACCCAGTGTCCAGGAGAGGATTGACAGGAGGCCCCAGGCAGACTCCCCGGCCCTGGGGGCCACCTCCTCACCTCCCCGCCTCTCCGCCCGCCCACTCCGCGTGCTTCTCCTTCTGCTCCTCTGCAGACATCGACGAGTGTGCCTCCAACCCCTGTGCGGCGGGGGGCACCTGTGTGGACCGGGTGGACGGCTTCGAGTGCATTTGCCCTGAGCAGTGGGTGGGGGCCACCTGCCAGCTGGGTAAGGGCCCCGCGGAGCCTGGGTGAGCATGGTCTGCGTGCTGTGCATGCTGCTGCTGCTGCTGCTGCTGCTCTGGGCTGCGGGCGCCAGGCACGGGGCAGGTGGGGCCTGGGCCCCATCGCTCCCCCTTGTCTCGTTCACAGACGCCAATGAGTGTGAAGGGGAGCCGTGCCTTAATGCTTTTTCTTGCAAAAACCTGATTGGTGGCTATTACTGTGATTGCGTCCCGGGCTGGAAGGGCGTCAACTGCCATATCCGTCAGTATGGGTGGGCAGGCGGCAGGCGGGGGGGGCTGCGGGAGCTTCGGGACCCGCCCGCGACTCACCCCTCTGTCCCCCAGATGTCAACGACTGTCCTGGGCAGTGTCAGCACGGTGGCACGTGCAAGGTAAGGTGTGGCCAGCCCTCTGCCCCTGCCCACCTGTGGGGAGGGCATGGGGCTAGGGCTGCCTGCTGGGGGCCGCGGCAAGAGACCCACCCACCCACCCACCCCGCAGGACCTGGTTCACGGCTACCAGTGCGTCTGCCCGAGGGGCTTCGGGGGCCGGCACTGCGAGCTGCAGCTGGACGAGTGCGCCAGCAGCCCCTGCCACGGCGGCTTCTGCGAGGACCTGGTGGACGGCTTCCGCTGCCACTGCCCACGGGGCTTCTCCGGGCTGCTCTGCGAGGTCGGTGTGCACCGCCGCCCTGCCCCTCACCCCGCCGTCGTCCCCGGGCCACCCGACTGACCAGGGGGCCTGCAGTGGGGGTGACCCCGAGAGTGTCCCAGACTCGGCCTGAAGCCCAGGTGCCTGGTTGTGCAGAGGGTCGGGGGAGGGGAAGGGGTCCTGTGTGTGGTGACCAGCCTGTCAGGTCAGCCGGCCACCCGGGGGCTCTGTCTACCCAACCCTGACCGCAGAGGAAGTGGCCTTGGCGGAGAGGGGCATGGGGCAGCCTGACAGGGAGCCCTGGGTGGAGGTCGGGCTGCACGTGCTGTGCGTGGGTCTCAGAGAGTGGGGGGTGCACTCGGGGGGTTCACGCCTGCCTTCCTCTGACGGGCCCTGGCTTTTGCAGGCAGGGCGGTGGAGCCGCGGCGGCTCGCGGGGTGGGCTCCTGGCCAGCAGGCGTCCTGGGCCCATGGTAGTGGTCCCTGCTGGGCGGTGGTGTGTCTGGGGAGCACCCACGGCCCGGGCTCAGGATGGCCGTGATGTTGGGGAAAAGGGTCAGGAGCGGCCTTCCTGCCAGCAGGAGGGGCGAACGCCGGATGCCGCCCGGGGAGGCAGAGGAAGCGGGCTGCGGGAGGGCGGCGGCCCCCAGGTGTTTCCGCTCGGCTGACCAGCCCAGACGTCTCGGGCGGGCCGTCCTTCGGGCTCTGGCCGCAGAGGCCCCGGTGTCCAGGCTGAGCAGCGCCTGGTCCCCAGGGTTGTCTTGACCGGCTCTTCTCCCGGTCCCTCCGGGCGGGCTGGGCCTCACGGACGCCCCATCGCAGGTGGACACTGACTTCTGCGACCCGAACCCCTGCCAGCACGGGGCCAGCTGCTACAACCTGGACGGCGACTACTACTGTGCCTGCCCTGACGGCATGGACGGCAAGAACTGCTCGGTGCCCCGGGAGCCGTGCCCTGGCGGGGCCTGCGGAGGTGGGTGGCACCCTCGGC